ATAACCTATAACTAACTAATATAATTAACTCGGTTAGTTCCTACTTATTACTTCTACTTCTACTATATTATATCTATTCGACGAGTATCTACGAGAATATAATTTAATAAAGTACTATATTTATACTATAGAGGACCTACTAGCTTATATATTTAGAGCTCGATTATAACTCTAGCTAGAGCTCCTACTTTTAAAAACTATTAGTTCTAGGCGAAAAGAGATAGTAGTCGTCGGTAGTTTTAGATAATAAATATAGCCTATAGTAGTTTAAGCGACCGAACGTCTAAGACTATTAGAAGTTTCTAGAGATACTTTATAATTCGTAGAATTTTAAGAAATAATCTAGATCTCCCTACCTAGATAGAGTTTTAGAATAGGCCTATTCTAGAAATAGGCTACTCTATATACGGAGAGTCTATACTTCCTCTAGCTATAGAATAGGCCTATTCCTTCTCTCTAGAGATATCTATACTACGTTTCTAGAATATACTAGTTTCTAGAGTATAATAGAGCGCTTCTTGCCCTAACGTCGTAGGAAGAGACGTCGGTACTACGACTATAAAGGTTACTAATAGCCGTTAGAGTACAGCGTCTTAACTTCTTAGCTTAGCAACGCTATACGTAGCGCGATTCGACTCGTCTCTTCTAGCAGCGCAGCCTCTACTCCTCGAACTCTTCACCTAACCGACCTCTTTATAACCGATTCGAAGTGTCCTGCAGGCTCGCGCCGTCTACCGGCCTTAATGCGCTCGCACGTCTCGATTGGACCTACGGGAGACTGAAGGTCGGACGAAAGTCTGACGCCGGTCAGTCTCGTCGATTGCGCACGTCTCGTGCAGCGCACCTGCTACTAGGCCTCTGGCAGTACACGGCAGTACTACTCAGAGGCTGCTTCCGCCACCGGGCCGCCGGCTCTCGACGGTTTGCCGCTTGGTGGCCGATTTTGGCCGCTGCTCCCTCGCGACACCGTCCGCAGAATCCAATAGGTCTCGTGGACCCCGCGTCGCTCGCGCAGTCAACGTGGACACCTGGAGGCCCTTACGCCACATTGGCACCCTGCGAGCACTGTGCTCTGGCTGTAGACTGCCGTGTGATTTGGCGATACGCTGTTCAGCACGCTGGATTCTTAGTGAAGCGTAACATCAACTGGAGAACGTTTGGTTCCGCGTAGTGGACGAGCTTCTCGGCTCACTCTTGCCGGAAGAAAATTAGTCGGCAGCCAATCTCGATTGGCCCTTCATCGCTGGTCATTGATCGCTCCCGGTGTATGTGATCTTATCAAGACCGCGGCCGCGTATTGATGTCACCTCGGCTGGACATATGCGAGGCGCCTCCACGAATTTTTCGACGATATGGGCTTTGGAGGCCGGCCACCCGCGCCACGTCAGTATGAAAGCAACTGGAGACGACGGAAGTCTGGCCTGCGATCTCGTCCGCCGAACTCTATTCTCGCTGGGGTCACAGGCGCGATGTACAGTACCTCGAGCGTGCAGACTAGAAATCAATCGACGAGCCATTGATACCTCAACGCATGCCATTGGCGGCTATTCGTCTTCAATAACATTCAGCTGCGGTGGATCTCGTCCGCCCGGAGAGCCTGTCCAGTAGGCCACAGCACAATCCGCCCCCAAGTTCGTTTCTGTAAGGACAACGGCATCTGGCATCTTGCGATTGTTCTTCGCGTCTCTCTCTTACGAATGCGAAAACCTTGCAACGCCTGGTCGGAACACTGTCCGTCACACGTGGATGGACGCTCATTGTGTTCCACTTTTCCGTTCTCCTTCGCAAGGTTTGGTGAACGAGGTTATCTAGGTCAAATCAGCCATGCCTGCATTCGCTCGCCAAGATAGACCAGAAGACTGCAGCAGAGCGGCGTGTCCACGTGCGCACGTGCACCAAAGTAGCATGATGCCATGTCCTTCGACACGGTGCGGCATGGAATTCGGCAAATGACCCGCATGTGTGTCTCCAGCTCAAGCTGTATACAGTTTGGCCCTTTTGCTAGCTTGCAGAGGAGAAGTGCGCCAGGGCTGCCCAATACTGCTAGCTACCTTTTGACTACGGGACTTACTGAAGCCTCACGCCTTTCGCCATTCCAGTGGGCCTCTGGAACCCCCGCTCGAAGAGTCTGCGCGAGATCTGCGGCTCTGACCTCTTCGTCGCTAGTGCCTACTGCATGTGCCTTCGATATTGCCACGTTGGAGCCGCAAATGAAACACATCTCGTACTGTTTCCTCCATTCAAACCTCGGGAAGGCAACTCGGCGCCATGACACGATGCTCCGGATCTGTGGCAGCTTGCGGACAGGTAAACTAGAGTTCTCACGTCCTATTGCAGCCTCGACGCCAAAATCGCGACCTCGAACAGCTACCTTGTCCTAGCGTTTCAACAACAAGTCTTCGGCGCGAACTACGCGTGGCCTATTCCATAACTCGCTTCTAAGTTTCCTTCATCCCCACGCGAGATAGGAGGTGGAGAGGATGTCTACTGGTCAGATGGTGTAATTTGGTCTGCGACACTTGAACTTGACTCTCGCTATCAACAGCACAGAGAACGAAATCGCCAATTTTGTTCCCCAGCGACTGAGTAGACGCTCCAAGAGCTGACTTGACCTCTCGCTGTACTAGCACCGCTTGGTACATCTCTCCGTGGCGCCGCAGGACGATTGACGGCAACGCTGTTACCCTCGCCGCTTGATGAACAGTACAGGAGAACATTACTTCGAATACCTCAACTACGGCAGCTCGACCCTTTAAAGGCAGGCTGGCGCATCGTTTTACCGTGTCAAAGAACTCATCAGGCCTGAGTCAACATCCAGTTAGCAACGACGGGTGAAATGAGTCGTTCTCTGCTGACGTGCGATCCCGGCCGGGCCCTGTGCGCCTGTCTTTCTCACACCGTTTCACAGCCTCTATCGCTAAACAGTCAACGTTGCAGGACATCGGCGGACTTTGAGGTCACACATGCCGTGGGAAAGCGATCCTGTAGCGTCGTCAAGCAATGGAGCTATCGTCACGCCCTATGACAGCGACCAATCGATGAGTCAAAACAGCGATGACTAAGCACGCTATCGACCTCATCTAGACATTGCCATTGGAACTTCATCCTTTTCATCGACAACATGCCTGCTCCCGCCAATCTGTCAGCAGACACCGCCACCACAATCAACGTTGGCAAGGAAGCTGCGGAACATTTTCTTCTGCAGAATGGCTATCGCAACCTAAATCACGGTATGCTGCTGTCATGCTGCTTTGAAGGCCCATACTAACTGTTACGAACAGGCTCGTTCGGGACCTACCCTCGTGCTGTTCGGACAACACTGCGTGCTCTGCAAGACGAATGCGAGGGTCAGCCAGATCGTTTCATTCGCTACACGTATCCTCAGAAGGTTGATGAATCACGGCAAATCGTTGCCGACTACCTCAATGCGTCCGTTGATACTATAGTCTTCGTTCCTAATGCCACCACCGGCGTCAACACCGTCTTGCGGAACCTCCTCTGGCAGCCGGGCGATGTCATCCTGTATTTGTCCACTATCTACGGAGCCTGCCAAAAGACCATCGAGTACCTGGCAGAAACGACGCCTGTTCAAGGTCAAGCTGTGGAAGTGACGTATCCCATTTCCGATGCCGCTCTCGTGCAGGCTTTCTTGAGCACAGTCTCGTCTATTAAGGCTGCGGGCAAGACACCCAAGCTGGCAATGTTTGACACAATCGTCAGCATGCCTGGTGTCCGCGTTCCCTTTGGGCAGCTCACGAAGCTTTGCCACGAGCATGGCATCCTGAGCCTGATTGACGGCGCCCACAGCATTGGACAGATCCCCATCAATCTTGGCGAGCTAAATCCCGACTTCTACGTTTCGAACCTGCACAAATGGCTGCATGTACCGCGCGGCTGTGCTGTCTTCTACTGCCCTGTCAAAAATCAGCCTCTGATGCGATCCAGCCTGCCCACTAGCCACGGATTCGTCCCAAAAGTCAACACCGCCCTTGTAAGCCCGCTGCCGCCCAGCCAAAAGAGCGAATTCGTCAACAATTTCGAATTCACTGGCACAATCGATACTAACCCGTACCTTTGCGTCGGGGCCGCCCTGAACTGGAGGGCAAGGATGGCCTGGAACGGAAAGAATGGCGAAGAGGCTATCATGGCATACTACATTTTCCTAGCGAGGAAAGCTGGCCAGATCGTAGCTGGAATACTGGAAACTGAAGTCATGGAGAACAGCGAGGGCACGCTACAAAATTGCGCTTTCTCAAACGTCGCCCTACCGCTCAGTCTCCAGGACGATGCTGAGGGTACGTACACCGTCGCTGTCGCTATCGCTCAGTGGATGAGCAAGGTATTAGTGGAGGAGTACAATACCTTTCTGGCAATTTTGATTCACGGAGGCAGGTGGTGGGTCAGGCTCTCTGCACAAGTTTACCTGGACGAGGAGGACTTTCACTGGGCCGGCAAGGTGTTGCAGGAGGTCTGTGAAAGGGCTAAGGACGGCGAATGGCGCGGTGCTAGACCGGGGCCGCCTGTGAGGCTCGCTGGCAACCAGATAGCTTCTTAGAGCTAGGTAGAGTTGATGTATCGTGGTCGCTTCGGCTTTTGCCTTACATGCAGTCGATATCGATCTAATAAGAGCTATAAGACGCCGTCCGTCTGCACTCGTCGCTTGCTATACTATAGGTAGTTAGGTTTGTGCTTTAAGATTAACCCGATAGAGTATGCTAGGTGTAACTTAGCGAATAACGCCGCTGCAGCCGCGTGTCGAGCGATATATAGCCCTCTAAAACCGTATATTTAGCTTTAAATAGTCGTATTACGCTACGCGCCTTCTTAGCCTACGCTATATCTCGGAACGTCCGCTTAATAGGCGTTAGTTAGCTAAGGGTAGTTTGTTTATCGCTAAGTTATAGTAGTATAGATTATAAGTCTAGAGTAGCGCTTATATTTTATAACGGAACGTTAAAGCAGTTCTATCGACTCTCGATTATCTATATAACTATAGCCGCTAAGAGATAGAGTTAAAGCTTTCTTAGTTCTAGCTTTAAGTAGCTCCTAGGCGAAGCTCCGACTTAACTATAGATTCTCGTATATATCTATAATTAGCTATATATATATCTCTTTCGACGTATAGAGTATCCTAAAAGTATAGGAGATTCTAGGATCGTATAACCTCCTTCCTTATACGAGCGTAACTAGTAGTATAATATTAATACGTATTAACTTTATATATTTGTTTTACGCAAGTTATAAAACTAGTAACTACGAGCGAGTTACGCAATTTATAGATTAATATATAACCTATATAATTCGTCTAGAGATCTAGAGTATCTATAGAATACTAAAGTATACCTTTTATACTTAATTGTTTCTTTATAGTAGATTATATAGTCCCCTTCGACCTCTTACTATTATACTACTATCTTTGCGTTATAAAAACCTTATATACTTATATCGTAGAAAGTAGCGAATTAGTAATTCTAACTTAATCGGTTACTTGTCTACGAACCGAAGTTCGCTAGGATCTCTCTTCGAAAACCTATTCTATACTACGTTCTAGCCTACTCTAGTAATATACTTCTTTATATCTATAATACTACTACTACCTTTAGTCTTATTAACTAGACCTATCTCGATAGCGCTAGCCTACGTCTAGCGCTAGTTAATAAAGTCTTCTACGACTAAATACTTACTCTTTATTAGGTCGAGACTCTAGCGAGATTCCTAGCTTTAATTCTAGATTCTTAGAGTAGTAGGAGGTCTAAGAATATTTACTATAGGTCGAGAATCTCGTTTTAGCTTAAGAAATCTAATTCCTAGCTTAAAAGTATAAATTCTAGCTTCTAAATCTAGATTCTAAGACTAGATTCTAGATTCTTACTTTAGAATCTAAATTCTAGTATAATAATAAAGTACTAGAATCTAGATTCTAGCTTCGGAATCTAGGTTCTAGCTTTAGAACCTAAATTCTAGTATAAGAATAAAGTACTAGAATTTAGAATCTAGATTCGAAATCTAGATTCTAGTCTTAGAATCTCGGTTCTAGCTTTAGTTCTAGCCTCGGAATCTTAGTTCTAGCCTTAGAATCTAGAGTCTAGCTCTAGGATCTAGATTCTAGAGTAATAATTAAGTACTAGAGTCTAGTATCTAGTCTTAGAATCTAGATTCTAGCCTCGGAATCTAGATTCTAGTATAAGAACCTAGATTCTAGTATAAGAACCTAGATTCTAGTATAAGAAGAAAGTACTAGAATTTAGAATCTAGTTTCGAAATCTAGATTCTAGTCTCGGAATCTCGGTTCTAGCTTTAGTTCTAGCTTTAGAATCTTAGTTCTAGTATTAGAGTCTAGATTCTAGAATAATAATTTAGTACTAGAATCTAGTATCTAGTCTTAGAATCTCGATTCTAGCTTTAGAATCTAGATTCTAGGAGAAGTATAAGCTACTAGAATATAATACTTATACTAGAAATCTCCTTTTCGCTCTAGGAATCTAGATTCTAGCTCGAAAATTAAGATTCTAGCTCGAAAATCGAGATTCTAGTACTAAAAACGAGATTCCTAACCTAGAATCTAGATTCTAGAGATACTAGAAGCTATTAGAATCTAGAATCTAAGTTAGGAATATTAATTCTAGCTTAAGAAAACTAGATTCTAGCTTAAAAAACTAGATTCTAGCTCTAAAAACGAGATTCTAGCTCTAGAAACGAGATCCCCGACTTATATTCTAGATTCTAATAGCTACTACTACTTCTAGAATTTAGATACTATACTAGGAATCTTGTTTTAGCTTAAAAAATCTAGATTCTAGCTCTAAAAATAAGATTTTAGCTCTAAAAACGAGATTCTAGCTTCTAAAACGAGATTCCTAACTTAGATTATAGATTCTAATAGCTTCTACTACTTCTAGAATCTATAATTTATACTAGGAATCTCGTTTTAGCTTAAGAAATCTAGATTCTAGCTCTAAAAATAAAATTCTAGCTCTAAAAACGAGATTCTAGCTCTAAAAACGAGATTCCTAACTTATATTCTAGATTCTAATAGCTTCTACTATCTCTAGAATTTATAATTTATACTAGGAATTTCGTTTTGGTTTAGAGAATCTAGATTCTAGTACTAAAAATAAGATTCTAGCTCTAAAAATAAAATTCTAGCTCGAAAAACGAGATTCTAGCTTCTAAAACGAAATTCCTAGTCTAGATTATAGATTCTAGTAGGTTCTACTACTTCTAGAATCTAGATACTATACTAGGAATCTCTTTTAGAAGCTAGAATCTAGATTTTAGTACTAAAAATAGGATTTTAGCTCTAAAAATAAAAATAAAGATCGACTAAATATTATAAGCTAGGACTATAAATTTCGCGAGCCTATACTAGATATATAGTATATATATCTATCGCTAACTACCTAGATAATTAGCTACTTAACTATAAGTTCTTCTAGGTTATAATAATCTCTTTATATCTAGAGTAAACTATAGTTAGCGCTAGAATTATACTATAGCTTATCTACTCTAAGCGCTATATTAGTAGTAGCCTTAGCTATCTCGAGAGTATATAAGTTTTATCTAGTTAATAGCTAAGTAAAGAAGCTCTTTTTAATAGTACTATAGATATTAATTATATATACTTTACTTATAGAGACTATAATAATATTACTAATATCTAGTTTATATTATACTAGTATTAGCTAGTACTCTACGCGTTTTAGATAGAAATTCTAAAAGAAGGAAAAGTACTTAGAATATTAGTAAGAGAGAAAAAAGAGATATCGAATAAATAATATAATAAAGAAATATTTAGAACGTACTTTTAAGTAACTCGAGGACGCCT